TCTTAGCCATTGATTTAACTCTTTGGAGCATGGATTCACCTTCACCTTCAGTTTTTAAAGATAAAGTTCCGAGATCTTAAACTGAAGCTCAGGTTATCAATTTTAGCTGTCTTGCAGATACATGTTTGGTGTGACTTTGCTGCACTGAACAGTTTGTTTTATTAATTAACTTTTGCTCTTACTGTCCGACATACTAAAAATTATCTTCAGGCTGGGCACAGCGGCTCACACCTGTAATCCTAGCACTTTGGGAGGCAAGGTGGGTGGGGATCACTTGAGGCCAGGAGTTCGAGACTAGCCTGGCCACAAAAGCCTGCCTCTACTTAAAAAAAAAAAAAAAAAAAAGCTGGCCATGGTGGTGTGTGCCTATAATCCCAGCTACTTGGGAGGCTGAGACAAGAGAATCACTTGAGCCCAGGAGGTGGAGGTTGCCGTGAGCCAAGATCACACACTCCATCCTGGGTGACACAGTTAGACCCTGTCTCAAAAAAACAAAACAAAACAAAACAAAACCTGGTGCCATAGAATAGGCTTCTGTGTTCATCACGCAGTAAGCCCTTTTGTTGGGTAAGAGAAATGAGCAAAATCTATACAATGCATCATCTGGCAAACAAAGTCAAGCTATACTTTCCTCATACAGAGATAAACTTTACAAAACAGACCACAGATTTTACCAGGAAATGTAAAAACTTGTCAAAAAAAATAAATAAGCTCATGCTATATGAATCAGATACTGTCAGGTTGCTGCACATGTAGTTGCAGTTTTGCATTATGGAAATTTGCCATTTGATAACTGGAATACATTCTTAAATAAATGTGGTTATAATATACATCACTTTAATACACGTTTCCTTATGTTTTTTGGCTGATGACTTATTACTTGCTGTTATTTTATATTTATTTTAGACTGTGGAAATGATGTTAGACAAAAAGCAAATTCGAGCAATTTTCTTATTCAAGTTCAAAACGAGTTGTAAAGCAGCCAAGAAAACTTGCCAACATCAGCAATGCATTTGGCCCAGGAACTGCCAACAAATGTACTGTGCAGTGGTGGTTCAAGAAGTTTTGCAAAGGAGGCTGGGCATGGTGGCTCACCCCTGTAATACGAGCACTTTGAGAGGCTGAGGCAAGCGGATCACTTGAGGTCAGGAGTTCGAGACCAGCCTGGCCAACATGGTGAAACCCTGTCTCCACTAAAAACACAAAAAATTAGCCAGGCCTATGGCACATGCCTGTAATCACAGTTACTCACAAGGCTGAGGCAGGAAAAAAGCCTGAAGGCAGGAGGTGGAGGTTGCAGCGAATGATATCATGCTACTGCACTCCAGCCTGGGCGACAAAGCAAGACTCTGTCTCAAAACAAAACACCCAAAGAAGCGAAAAACAAAAGAAAAAAAGTTTTGCAAAGGAGACAAGAGCCTTGAAGAAGAGGAGTGTAATAATGGCCAGCCACTGCAAATTGACAACAGTCAGTTAAGAGCAATCATCAAAGCTGATCCTCTGACTTAAACTACACAAGAAGTTGCCAAAGAACTCAACATTAGCCATTCTACGATCATTCAGCATTTGAAGGAAATTGGAAAGGTAAAAAAGCTCAACAAGTGGGTATCTCATGAGCTGAATGAAAATTTAAAAAAAATTGTTGTTTTGAAGTGTCGTCTTCCCTTATTCTATGCAACAACAACTAACCATTTCTCGGATTGTGACATGGAATAAAAAGTGGATTTTACACGATAACCAGTGACAACCAGCTCAGTGGTTGAACTGAGAAACAGCTTCAAAGCACCTCCCAAACCAAACTTGCACCAGGAAAAAAGCCATGATCACTTTCTGGTGGTCTGCTGCTGGTCTAATCCACTACAGCTTTCAGAATCTTGGCAAAACCACTACGTCTGAGAAGTCTTCTCCGCAAATCAATGAGATGCACCAAAAACTGAAGTGCCTGCAGCTGGCACTGGTCAACAGAAAGGGACCAATTCTTCTCCACAGGCCCGACCACACATCGTGCAAGCAATGCTTCAAAAGTTGAAGGAACTGGGCTACCAAGTTTTGCTTCGTCAATCTGCCATATTCACCTCATCTCTCGCCAACTGACTACCACTTCTTCAAGCATCTTGAAAACTTTTTGCAGCAGAATGCAGAAAATGCTTTCCAAGAGCTCATCAAATCCCAAAGCACAGATTTTTGCACTACAGGAATAAGCAAATTTATTTCTTGTTGGCAAAAATGTGTTGATTGTAATGGTTCCTGTTTTGACTAATAAAGATGTGTTTGAGCCTAGTTATAACGACTTAAAATTCATGGTCCAAAACTGCAATTACTTTTGTGCCAACCTAATAAATTCCTTATTTCCACAAGATAAGACAATCCATTTCTTTCATTTTTTTTTCTTTGAGACAGAGTCTCGTGCTGTCACCTGGCTGGAGTGCAGTGGCACAATCTCAGCTCACTGCAACCTCCTCCTCCCGAGTTCAAGCCATTCTCCTGCCTCAGCCTTCTAAGTTAGCTGGGATTACAGGTGCATGCCACCACACTTGGCTAATTTTTGTATTTTTAGTAGAGAAGAGTTTCACCATGTTGGCTGGGATGGTCTGGATCTCCTGACCTCATGATCTACCTGCCTTGATCTCCCAAAGTGCTAGGATTACAAGTGTGAACCATCACCATGTAGGGCCGACAACCCATTTCTTAAATATAATTAATAAAGAGCTTTAATGACAAAAGAAAATTGGTTTGCTACAAAACCTACAAAATTTATATACTGTTTATATGATCAATGGCATTCAAAATATTTCCTTTCCAGATAATAGCATACATTAAAGTACATTCCCACCCTTCACAATACTATAGTAGATGAGAAACAGAGCCTAAGAGAAAGACAAAGCCTTCAGACCAGTAATTGAGCCACGTCTACCAACATAACCCCAAATCTCATGACAGGTCTATTTATATGGCAGAAAGTGAAAACTGCCAAGGAAATCATGATTCTGGTGAGCTATACATGACTGCTAACTAGGAAAAGAAAAGCAGAGATGAAAAGAAAGCAAGACATCCCATGCCAATCCTGCAGAGCAAAATCCCAGCAGACATGAAGAAAACTAAGACATCCAACAACTTCAACCAAAACATGATTTTGTTTCTGTCAACATAAATAGAAAAAGCATGTTTAAAAAGCAAAAAATATACTCTTAAAACTCATGGGTCAATGAGGGAGTCACTGGTGAAATTTTTATTGGAAACAAATGACAAACACAAGGACGATGTAGCAAAACTATGCTTAAGCTAGGCTGAAATGCATTTAAAATAAAACTAAAATGAGATTTGTGTTCAACTCAAAGTAGTCAGAAAAAAGAGGAATCTATAGACAAAAGGTTAATTTAACCAATCTTATGACTGTCCCTATCTTTTCCAAACATTTATGGTCAGAATATATAAAGAACTCTTTCTAATAAATTACATATACATATACATACATATTTCTTAATATGCATAATACACACACACACACACACATATATATATATATATATATATATATATATATATATATATATAACCCCATAGGAAAAAATGGATCAAGAGAAAACTCAAGTGTCCAAAAACACACAAAAAGACGCCCCCATCAACCTAGTGAACAAGGAAATACAAAGTAAAACTCCAGCAGCGTACCACCTCACGTCCATAATACTGGCAAAATTCAAAAAGCAGGCCAGGCGTGGTGGCTCACATCTGTATTTCCAGCACTTTGGGAGGCCAAGGAGGGCAGATCATGAGGTCAGGAGATGGAGACCATCCTGGCCAACCTGGTGAAACCTCATCTCTACTAAAATACAAAAAACTAGCCAGGCATGGTGGTGAGCACCTGTAGTCCCAGCTACTCGGGAGGTTGAGGCAGGGGAATTGCATGAATCCAGGAGGCAATGATTGCAGTGAGCCAACATCACACCATTGCACTCAGCCTGGCAACAGAGCAAGACTCCATCTCAAAAAAAAAAACAAAACCTCAAAACTAACAAAATCAAATACTGGTAAAGAAAAAGATCTACCTATTGTCATGTGCTGGAAATGTTAAACTGCAAAACTATCTTGAAGGGAAAGCATAGCAACATCTAATACAGTGATAGGTGTGGATCATCCCCTACAATTCAACAATTCCATTCCTAGGAAAATACTTGAGAGAGAAAATATTGCAAGTGTGCGGACAGAAAAGTGCATATTCACTTTAATGCGTATTAAAATCTACCAAAATGTATACTGATGGCAGAATGGATTACGGTAAATCTTCAAACTGAATAAATATGTAAGCAGTGATAAAAATTTACAGTCACCTTTCACAATACAACACCAAAAAAAGAAGAGAAAAAGGCAAGTAAGAAGAATACAGGCAGGACACAGTGGCTCAAGCCTATATTCCCAGCATTTCACAAGGCCGAGGCAGATGGATCACTTGACATCAGGAGGTCAACCTAGCCTGGCCAAAGTGGTGAAATCCCATCTCTACTAAAAATACAAAAATTAACCAGCCGTGGTGGCACACCTCTATAGTCCCAGCCACTTGAGTGGCTGAGGCATAAGAATCGCTTTGAACCCAGGAGGCAAAGGTTGCAGTAAGCTGAGATTGTGCCACTGCACTCCAGCCTCAGTGACAAAGCGATACTGTTATCTCAAAAAAAGAATACAAACAGTATTAATCCTACTTATGAATTTATTTACGCAAGTTTTACAAACACAAAACTATACAGTAATACCAAGGGTCAAATAATTTCAATTGCAATTCCTTTATTTGAAAAAGTATGGGTAGTTTTGTTTTGTTCTATGATACCCATAAAACGTAAGGTACTAGGTTAGATTTTCAGCATAAATTTTGAAAGGACTGTTTCCAGGGCAGATTAATTTTGCTCTGGGTCTCCTCAAACCCCACCCCTACAGCTCTCCCCTTACCACCACCACACCAACGCTTTTTAAATAAACCTGAAGAGTATATGAGTGTACAACCCTACCTCTTCCTCTGGAGCTTTAGAAGCAACAAAGCGTGTTCTTTCTCGTCTCATCTTGCCACCTCCACCACCTACTCCAGAAGATAAACCATTGGCTGCAGGCAAACTGAAATTTGGATATGAAAAGCCACTGGCAAATAAAAAGAAAATTAAAACAATTGATATATTATTCTTGTCCATAACTTATTAACTAAATACCTAAAAACTGGAACTGGTAACAAGAAAATATACAGCAAAATGTGATTCTAAAATCTTAGATTTCTTTGTACAAAGTTTCTATTCATTGATCTTAATCTTCAAAAAGTACATGTAAGTCAAATATAAACCTTACAAATTAAATATAAAGCGGTACAGCTGTATAAGAAATGATAGTACCTTTCTCGTTGTTCTCTATTCTGTCCTGGTGTCGTATTTTTTTCATATCCAGTCTGCAGGGGAAATACACACATATTTATTTGTTTGCTTATGTGTTATAATGTTCTTAGTACCACCTTGCTTCCCATTAATTTTAATATTTAGAATCAGGAATTTGATGGCTTTTTAATGAGTCCTACAATTTGAAATTATACCCTGCCTTCTGAATGGTAACCAAGAGTTACAGTGAAATTATACCAAAAAATGTCAGTGAGCACAACCATTATTTTAACAAAATGGTAGTACAGACAATATGCTCACTAACCTAACACAAAATTAGTTCTACTTATCCCTCTTTTTGTCCTGTTAATTGTACAAGCAAATATGCAAAGTATTTGTTTCGAAATGACACTCTGCAACTTAAAAGTACAAATACGTCCACTGAAAGAAATCAAGACTCCTCAGAAAAATGGCTGATTACAGGGCTGGGGCAGGAAATGTATGTGATGAGTCTGAATTTACCTTATAATATGAAAAATCAATTAAGTGCCCAAAAAGATACAGGCAAGAATCATCAATAATGCTAACACTCGTGGCTGAAAAGAATATAATGGCAAAGTTTCCTTTCCACAAGATACTTATTCATTACAAAAGGTAAAATAGTAATTTTACAGTGGAGAATCCTCACAGACACCACTTTATTTAATAACCACACTGCCAGGAATGGGACAAACTAGTAGCCTGTGCCTTCTGAACACTGAGAACAGCTCAGCACACTTCTTCGATGGTTTTCACTGCCAAAGAACATAACTGAAATCTAATCATGAGGAGACATCAGATAATCATAAAACTGCAGAACATTAGCTTCTATACTTCAAATTGCCAATGTTGTGAAACACAAAACAAGAACAAAAAAACAAAAGGAACTGTTGTAGGCTAATGAAGACAAAGAGACATGATAACTAAATGCAAGACATGATGTTGGAATTTTTTCTTTTGGGCCAACTGACAACATGTAAATAAAATCTGTAGATTACAGTGCTGTGCCAGTGTTAGGTTTCTGGGATTGATCACTGTTACGCATTATGTAAGGAAATCCCTTGTTTATAAGAATACAGAAAAAAGATAAAACAAATGTAGTAAAATGCAAAGTTCTTAAAATTTTTCCTACAAATCTGTAAAAATACAAATTATGTTCAAAAAAAAAATTTTTTTTTTTGAGTCAGGGTCTCACTCTGTCACCCAGGCTAGAATTCAGTGGTGCAATCATAGTTCACTTCAGCCTCCAACTCTTGGGCTCTCATGTGATTCTCCTGCCTTAGCCTCTCGCCTTGCTAGGATTACAGACTCACACCACCATGTCTGGCTAGTTTTTTTTCCTCTAGAGACAAGGTCTCACTATGGTGCCTGGGCTGGTCTTAAACTCCTGGCCTCAAGTGATCCTTCTGCCTCAGCCTCTCAAAGCACTGGGATTACAGGCATGAGCCACCTGGACCACCCTATGTTCAAAATATTTTTCAAAATTTTAATGTTAACTTAAAAGTATGGAGGGAGATAAAACAAACATGACAAAATGTTAATGACCGCTGAATCAACATAAAGTACATGGGCAATCACTGTACTACCCTAAGATTCAAGGTTTTCAAGAAATTGAGTTGCTAAAAATGAGATTAAATTTAAGCAAAGACATAAACAGTAAGGTGTTAAATAAATAAAATAAACACAAGTTAAATGACATAAAAAAAAAACCAAACCCAGGTTATGGGACATTTAATAAGACAATCTGCCTGGTCTCTTCAAAAATCTATGTATCCAGCAATTCCATTACTAGGTTTAAACCCAAGAGAAATAAAAACATGTCCACAAAAAAACACTTATACGCAAATGTTGATAGAAGCATTATTGATGATAGCCAAAAAGTAAAAACAATCCCAATGTCCCTCAACTGATTAATGGATAAAATAAAATCTAGCATATGCATATAATGAAATATCTACAAAACCTAGTATATCCATACAGTGAAATATCATTAAGCCAAAAAAGGAAAGAAATGGGCCGGATACAGTGGCTCAGGCCTGTAATCCCAGCACTTTGGGGAGGCCAAGGAGGGTGGATCAGAAGGTCAGGAGTTCAAGACCAGCCTGGACAACATGGTGAAACCCTGTCTCTACTAAAATGCAAAAAAATGAGCCAGGCATGGTAGTAGACACCTGTAATCCCAGCTACTAAGGAGACTGAGGCAGAAGAATCGCTTGAACCCAGGAGGCGGGGATTACAGTGAGCCAAGACCATGCCACAGCACTCCAGCCTGGGCAACAGAGGAAGACTCTGTCTTCAAAAGAAACAAAGAAAGAAAGAAAGAATTGATACAAACTACAACGTGAATGAACCTTGAAAACATTATGCTAAGTGACTACTAATGGTTATGGGTATGAGATTTTTGAAGGGTGGGACAGATAGCAATACAAATGTTCTAAAATTTACAATTATGATGGCCGAAGAGTTGAACCACCACCACTTCATTTATAAAGTGTTTTCTAAACATGCTAAAACCACTGAATTGAAAACTTTAAATAGGAGAATTGTATGATACGTGAATTATCTCAAGAAACAGAAACCAATGTGGCCAAGGTGAGGGTTTGAGGACTGGAAAACAAAACCAAAAGCAGTATCTGAACCTCGCTTGAGTCCTGGTTCAAAAAAGCAGCTATGAAAAACCATTTGAATATGGACTAGATATAATTTTGGGAAATTAGTATTAATTTTCGTAGATGGGATAATATAGGAGAAAGCACTTAGGGGATGCATGTCAAAGTACTTAGGGTTCAAAAGATAATGTCTGAAATTTACTTTCAGATAGTTGAACAACACCACAAACAAGAAACAGGCTACTCAGGAGGCTGAGGCAGGAGAATCACTTGAACCTGGGAGGTAGAAGTTGCAGTAGGCTGACACCATGCCATTGTACTCCAGCCTGGGCGACAGAGGCTCTGTCTCAAAAAAAAGACTTGATCAAGGTGACAACTATTTTAAAAGCATACCAATTCATAATCATCACTAACTCACAACTTTTATACGTTATATAGTTGCTAGAATACAATAGTAGAGAACTTATATTTTACATTATTTAGTCCCATTCATTCTAATCAATATTCAAAGACTGGTGGAAATATACTCACACTGCACTTTTTATCTATTCTTTGATTAGTCTTCCTGAATTCACCAGTCGGAGTCAGAGAGGGTTTAAAATAAACACTTCGATTTGTTGCTATGGAAACTGGCTTTGGGGTCATAAGTCTCTGAACAGGAGGATATTGAGAATCCACCTTACAGGTAAACAGAAATCAAAGACAAACATTTATTTTCACATAAACCAATGATTCATATCTAAATTTTGACAATAGCTAATGTGACCTAAAGACCATGAGTGCTTCCTAAAGAAATATACAGTAGATACAAACAAACAACAGGAAAATCTGGTAAGTGGAGCCAAAGGTTTCTATCTATCTATACGTCTATGTACATAAATATACACAAATAATTCTAAAATGGCTTCATGGATACACTATATTTCATTCCAGACTTAATCACTTTCCACACATGCATGCATACAAAACTATATTCAAAACAGCACTACAAATTTAAGCTTTTACAGAGTTAATTTTATTTTGACTTTTTAGAATTTTTTTTTTTTCAGAGACAAACTCTTGCTCTGTCGCCCAGACCACAGCTCACTGAAGCCTAGGCCTCCCTGGGCTGGGTGTATCCCCTCACCTCAGCCTCCCGAGTAGCTGAGAATACAGGGGTGCATCAGCAAGCCTGGGTAATTGTTTTTGGTATTTTTTGTAGAGACAGTGTCTCGCCATGTTGCCCAGGCTGGTCTTGAACTCCTGGGCTCAAGCAATCTGCCTGCCTCAGCCTCCCAAAGTGCTGCGATTACAGACATGAGGCACCTCGCCTGGCTTTTTTTTTTTTTCCATTTTTTATGGAAATGAGATCTTACCATGTTGCCCAGGCTGCTCTCAAACTTCTGGGCTCAAGCAATCCCCCCACTTCAGCCTCCCAAAGTGCTGGGATTACAGGTATGAGCCACTGCACCTGACTCAGGATGAATTTTAAATACATTAACTAAAATTTACTTTTGTCACATTTTCCCCGAATTACTAGGTATTTTAAAACCAGCTATGGGCCAGGCATGGTAGCTCATGCCTGTAATCCCAGCACTTTGGGAGGCTGAGGCAGGTGGATCATTTGAAGTCGGGAGTTCGAGACCAGCCTGGCCAATATGGTGAAACCCGTCTCTGCTAAAAATGTAAAAATTAGCCAGGCATGGTGGTATGCGCCTGTAATCCCGGCTACTCGGGAGGCTGAGACAAGAGAATTGTCTGAACCAGGGAAGCGGAGGTTTCAGTGAGCTGAGAATGTGCCACTGTAGTCTGGCCTGGGAGAGAGAATGAGACTCAGTCTCAAAAAAAAAAAAAGAAAAAAAAAAAAACCACCCAGCTATGAGAATATTTAAATTCCCAAAAATGTGAGCAAATCCCTCTCCAAGTTGATTTTCCCCATTGTTATTTAAATACCAAACCAAAAATCTTACAATCTAAGTCTAAATGGTAAATAACTGTTAAGACTTCCAAACTGGAAAAGGAACTCATTTTATTATATAAGTACACAAGTATTTTGTTAACAACAGTCCTTTGCTACACTGAAACATAGTAAAAATCCTGTTGGTATAAAACCACTACACAGCCAAAAGCTTCTAACTCTGTCCAAAGACTGTAATCCTAAGAACAGAGTCCTTTCACTCAGCAGCAGCTGTGAACAACGTTGGTTTCCAGGGCAAAGCCTCTGTATAGTTACTAACTCTTCCCTGAAACCTCCTTGCAAATGTGACCTTACAACTGAATAAGTCTATTTTGCAGACTGTTCTGATAACATCTGTGAAACATGAGCTATGACACTGTATTCTGGTGTTTTATTTCTTAGCACCCACTAATAAACTTTTATGGATACTATACTCAACCACTAGTAAAACTCTTATTGATAAGAACTTACGATGTAATTTTTAAATTTCACCTCTTTTTATAAAATAATCTGATATAAATGAGGGGTTGAGAAAAGCTAACGGCTTAAATTAATCCCATCATAGAAGCTAATAATAGATTCCTTCTTGCCTAATTACAAATGTCTAGGTAATTCTAAAAATTGAGAAGCAACACTCTTCCAAAAAAAGTTCAATTTTAGCTTTCTTTGCGTAAGAATTTCAGTACAGATAATTATAATCTACCAATATCTCAAATATAGTCCCTGAAATTAATTCATGAAATTATAATTTAAATACTGTTGAGGAACTTGGTATTACAAAACATGCTTTCATAAATAAGAATCCAAGAGTCAGCTTTCCCCGAAGGATCCTTAACTAGCTATAAACTAACAAAAGATACCTCTTTAACCCAAACTATCAAACATTATATCTTTTTCCCACAGTTGCCTCCAAAGTTAATTTTAAGCAAATAGAATATATCGAAAGGGCAGCAAGCTGTAATGATCAATTTTTTTTTATCAGTTCCACTATCTTGGAACAGTATTTTTTTTGTTTGGCTGATGAGATGTGCCTAACTGAAATTCTACTACACACAACAGATTTGACATAATGTTGGTTAATGAGGAAAGAATACAAAGACGATGATGTGCAAGAGGACTTTAGTTTACTGAATGTCTAAACACCTCACCTCAAGCTTTCATCACTCCTTTTTTTTTTTTTTTTTTTTTTGAGATGGAGTCTCGCTCTGTAGCCCAGGCTGGAGTGCAGTGGTGCGACCTCGGCTTGCTGCAACCTCCACCTCTCTGCAACCTCTGCCTCTGGGTTCAAGTGATTCTCCTGCTTCAGCCTCCAAAGTAGCCGGGATTACAGGCGCGCATCACCATGCCCGGCTAATTTTTCTGTATTTCCAGTAGAGATGGGGTTTCATCGTGTTGGCCAGGCTCTTTTTGAACTCCCGACCTCGGCTGATTCACCCGCCTCGGCCTCCCAAAGTACTAGGATTACAGGCACAAGCCACCGTGCCTGGCTGATCACTCCTATTTTTATTTACCAAAAGGTAATAGTAAACTATAAAGTCTCTCAAGATCCTGAAGATGGAAATGCTATATAGCAAAAAAAAAAAAAAAAATTGAATGGATGAGTATCTACTACACATACAACATGTCCCGAGGCCTGCAGAAGAGGGTAAAATGACCAAGTAAAAGAATATTATTTTTCAGGGCCGGATACAGTGGCTGATTGGGAGGTCAGGCTGAGCAGATCACCTGAGCTCAGGAGTTTGAGACCAGCCTGGCCAACATGGTGAAACTCTGTCTCTACTAAAATTACAAAAATTACCCAGGCATGGTGGTGTGTGCCTGTAATCACAGCTACCTAGGGAGGCTGCAGCACAAGAATCACTTGAACCTGGAAGCCACAGGTTGCAATGAACCAAGATCGCACCACTGCGCTAAAAAGAAAGAATATTTTTCAAACATGTAACCTAATGACTAAAGTAAATCCAATCTGTGTACTTGTGAACTTTAAACACAACAAAATTGCAGACAGTTTAAATAACTAAATGCTAACGAAGTCTTACCTTTTCTCTTTTGGCCTGAAAATCTGTGACATCTATCCCACTCCTATCAAGAGGCTGAAAAAAGAAAATACTATTAGAATAGATGGGGAGTTATAAAAAATATATATATAAATTTTTTGAGACAAGAGTCTCACTCTGCCTCCCAGGCTGGAGTGCAGTAGCATGATCTCGGCTCACTGCAATCTCTGCCTCCCAGGTTCAAGCAATCCTCCTGCCTCAGCCTCCCAAGTAGCTGGGATTACAGGCATACGCCACCACACCTGGCTAATTTTTGAATGAAAAATATGTTTTAAGGCCGGGTGCGGTGGCTCAAGCCTGTAATCCCAGCACTTTGGGAGGCCGAGGCGGGTGGATCACGAGGTTGAGAGATCAAGACCATCCTGGTCAACACAGTGAAACCCCGTCTCTACTAAAACTACAAAAAATTAGCTGGGCATGGTGGTGCGTGCCTGTAATCCCAGCTACTCAGGAGGCTGAGGCAGGAGAACTGCCTG